ATCTGAGATACGATATTGTTTTCCAGAGCCTTTTTCCATAGACTCTAACTAAGAAATAGGCACTTGAGATACTAGATTGCAATGATAGTCTTGGAGATATGATGGAGATCATTTAGGTCTGTTTGGCTTTCGTCCGGCATTATATGTTGTGAGGAAGACATAGTAGATGGAGTGGATTCAGATGGGTGTGGATGGCAAGATCAGATGCAAGGAAAACATCCTCACGCATAGGAATAGAATTTGAATGTGGAAATGTATCATCGGGATGTAAATTTGAGTGTGTTGGAAATAAGGTTAAATCTGACAGTGAAAAAACTTTGGGCTTGGACAAAGAGTTGAGAAGAGTAGGATGATGGAAATGAAATACATTTTCATGGAAGGAAACATCTCTGGAAGTAAAGGTTGTGTTGGTTTGAGGATTGTATAATTTGTAGGCTTTCATGCCATAAGGGTACCCAATGAAAAGGCAAGGTACAGTCCTTGGATCAAACCTGGTTCGATTTCGTTTTTTAGAATAAGCATAACAAAGACATCCAAATACTCTGAGGTGATCATATGAACGCTTGGTCTGATAGAACATCTCATAAGGGGATTAATTTGGAAAAACGGATGTGGTTGTCGATCGATAAGATTAGTAGCAGTAAGTATATACTCTCCCCAAAATTTCTGAGGCAATTTAGCTTGGAATTTAATAGCTCTTGCAATGTTAAGTATATGTTGATGCTTCATTTCAACCACACCATTTTGCTGTGGTGTTTCAACACAACTAAGCTAGTGGAAGATGCCTTTAGAATGTTAAGTCATGTTAAACTCTGAACCATTATCGGAGAATTTTTAATTTGTACTGAAAATGTGTTTGGATTAGGTAAAAGAAGGCGCGAATAATAGATCTGCTTTGATATTTATTTCGCATAAGATATGTACCAAGTCATTCGACTATAATCATCTACAATAGTTAAAAGTATTTGGAACCATCCAAGGAAGGAACAGAATCCACAGATTTCACAGTGATTAATATCAAACATTTTGGAAGCTTTTGTCTCACTATGAGAAATATGAAATCTACGTTGTTTGGCCATAGGACAGATAGTGCAATGCAAATGTTTATTGAATGTAATTGTAGGAACAAACTTATGTAGAAGCAGAACTTGGAGATGGGAATGCCCTAAACGGAAATGCCAAACATCAATATTGGTGATGATATTAAGATTGTTCATAGAGTTACAAGCAACATTATTTGCTTTATTACATTGCAAACGAGAAACGGGATCATGACTAGTATTAGAAAATACAGCAGAATTAATATTGAAGGAATTATCAGACTGTGCGGAAGGATGATGAAATTTGTGTGAAGATTGATTATGAAGTTGATTATCAGATTGTTGAAAAGAGTACAGTTCATCCTCAATTTTGCATATCCCACTCGTCCTCCATGTCAAAAGATCCTGAATAAAAAAATAATAGTATATGAATATCAAGAAGCAGCTATGTTTAAGTATCAACTAGCTAACAGAAATCAAATTGAATGTAAAGCATGGCACAACAAGAACATCAGTCAGCACCAAAGTATCAAATAGCTTGACTGTGCCAATATATGTTGCATCAGCAGTTTCACCATTAGGTAGCTTCACGGATGCATTAATAGCAGCAGTCACATTGGTCAAATGTTCAAGAGAACAAACCATATGTTCTGAGCACCTATGTCTATAATCCATGTGTCTGCAACTACGCCAACATTAGGATAAATGCAATTACCTAATAATGCAAATGCATCAGGAACGGAGGGGTAAAATAGTTGGTACATCTTGAGGCTGTGTTTGATTACATGCTGAGATGTGCCCTTGCAACTGAGTTGCTAACAAGCCAAAATCTACTTACACTGATCGGGAGTAATAGTGAGATTTGAAAGAGAATTTATCACTTCTGAGTGATTGCCATAAGATGTTTGTCCCACAACATTTGCAACTGGATTTTTCACTTTAGCAAGTATGTGACCAGGGGATAACCTATCAACTTATAGCATTTCCCATTAAGATGACCAAGCATTCCACAATAACTACATACTAGTCTCTCCTTCTTCTGAAATTGATTAAGTGGTATGTTCTTTTGATTTCCAAAATATCCATGCACCACATTGCTTGCAAAAGCTACCGCCTCAAGATTTTGTTGTCTCTTAGCAGTAACATCATTTTGCCTCTCATCTTGTAAGATCAGTGAAAATACTTTATTAAGTGAAGGCAATGGATCCATGAGTAAAATTTGACTCCTAACACCAGAAAATGCTCATCTAATCCCATTAAAAATTGCATCACCTGATCTTCACCTTATAATCAATGCTGCTTATCTCAGGTCTATAGTTATCCAGTTCTTTTCAAAGGCCTTTGAACTAATTAAAGTAAGATTTGACCGAACTGTTCTCTTGTGAAATCGAAGCAATCTGCTTCTTTAGTTCATAAATACGAAGGCCATTACATTGGCTATAACAATCCCTAAGCTCAATCCAAATCTCTTGGAAATAGCACTTTTGGAATGGAATTAATAATCCAAGAAGAAACCACATGATTGCATCTTCTCCAAGCACTGTAAAGGAAATCATCCTGTTGTGTGGCTTGACAATGGATCCATCAATGAATCATTCCTTGTTCTTGAAACTAAGTGCCATAACAACAGCACGACTCCATGTCGCATAATTGTCCTCTATTAGCACAACTGAAATAAGTCCCTATGTTATTGCCATAATGAAGATAATATGGACTGTCCGGATAAGTTATCAGTCTATTTGCCATGGAAGCCACATCTCTTACAACAGTTTCTCTAATAGAAGACTCGACGGAAGAATTATTGTGATCAGATTGATTTTGAACTGATGTTTGAGTATTGGAATCGCTCGCCATAGAAGAGAAGCTTCACAGCTCTGATACTATGTTGAATTATGGAGAGAAAATTCTAGAATGAAAGAAGAGAAACTTGGCGGGAAAATTTCGTTCTCATTTCACATGAAAATGAAGTGTTCTGAGTACATATATATACAAAACAACGTCGTGTAACTCTCCTAACAGAATTGATACAATGACTTAAATAACCCTATGCTACTGTGGTTTAACAAAGCTATACATTAAACTATCGAGATGAAACTCATAACTTCTCTGTTAATTGGGTAAAATCGGGTAATTGGATGATTTATCTTTGTTAATCGATTTCTGGTTGCCACTTTTTTAAGGAGGAAATTTTATTTATTTAGAGAAAATGAGAGCTTTTTCTTAATAAACGAAGATTTAAGACTCCTTCAATTGCCCATCATTTTTTAGATTTTTTTAATTTCTTTTATTTTTATTTATTTAAGAGGATCCCTCTATGCAAATTTAACGGAAAAAAATAGAGGGAAAGACATAATTTGCAATTAAGTGAAAGGTTGGACATGTCTAATGCTAAAAATATGTTGATGATACATTAGTTTGTAAAAGTAGAAAACGAAACGTGTAAATTTCCCTTATTCTTAATGATTGAGCACACTAGAAATTAATTATATAAAGCCGGGTGTAAATATAAAAATGCTATAAATTTAAAGCCAGTTTGTTGAGCGATTCATTATAATTATCTATTTATAATTAATGATAATTCTCGTACACTTGGACTTTTTTGGTTAGGTACACCTATAGACAATATAGAGGAAAAAAATAAATCGTATTTATTATTGTGTAAAGAGAATTGAGTTGGCCCATCGAGAGATAACGTGTGGAACGAATAAATATCTACCAACTTTGCAAATAGGCATATCATGAAACCATATGAGATTGACATATAAGAATACATATTGAAAGAGAATTCATTGCATACATAATCATTTCCTCGCTACATGGCAAATATACCTTCCAAGGGAAAACAAATTTTTAAAATCGTCATTTGGCCGTACTTGCTACGAGTAAACCTACCATAGTATTACACATTGCATAAACTATCATATAACAGCCCTTTGTATTGCAAATATCCCTAACAAGTTACAATACGTGGCATACATCATCATTTTGTCGTTGGCACAACTAATATACTTCATCATCTCAGGTGAATGGGATGAATAAATTGCCGTTTACCTATTATGTTGTGAATATACCTGCCATTGAAGAATGTAATATAAATATCTGTGTAAATTATAGAATTGAAGACAAAGAATCGATTGACCACTTTATAGGTCTAATACCAAAACAATTTTATATTATTCAAAATAAATGAAATTATTTAGACTAATTAAAATTAAAATAGTTGACTATTCTCTCTTTTGTTACATTTTTCACATTAAAGATTCATAAATGAAAAGCGAGAACAATGACAAAATTTGTTGATGTATCATAGCTGGATTAGCATAGAGTAATAAAAGTATTGTGATTGAATATCATCACATATATGTCGAGTATTTTCATTTCTTATGTATACAATCTGGGTGGAGCCAAGGCGGCATAAAATTTTAAGACTCAATTATAAATGATTTAGTGTATAAATAAATAAAAATGAGTGACAGTGAAATTTGACATATATACATTAATTGAGTATTATAAATTGATTTATAAAATTTGCTAAAGGGAGGCTAAATTTTTCTGTCAAAAGAATACAAAATTATACATACAAAAAATTTATATAATGATTCCAAAGAAGCTTTTGAGACCCGTCAAAATGTGGGTCCTACCTAAATTGCATGTCTGACTCGTGGAAACTGGCCATGAAGAAGGATTTATTATAAGACATCCCCCCTTCCCCCGAAGGGTTACTGAAAGTTCCACCATGAATCCTCATAGCCACTGTTGTACAGCTCTCTGCATTAAATTCATAATCTGCAGTGTACTCACAGTTGAAGTCGGCCATTCCATTTAATTCACGCTTTTCGGTTGCTCCTTTAAGGCTTTTTATCATCTCTCTCTCTCTTTTTTTAATCGTGTACATATACAAACTAACAGTTCTGATTTTCTGCCATTTCTACAGTACTTCTGTTTTCGGAGAGAGAGAAAATGGCCCCTGGACAACATACTTGCTGCGACAAACAAAAAATTAGGAGACCTGAGGAAGATGAGAAACTAATACGGCACATTTCTGCCTACGGCCATGGCTGTTGGAGTGCAGTTCCTAGACTTGCAGGTATCATTTTTAGAAACTTAATTTCCACACACACACACGTGTGTGTAAATACAGTGTTTGCGCCCTAACGAATCATCATTTTTTTTAAAAAGAAAAAAAATGAATCCCGATCGAAGGAACACAACCCTCCCCTAAATGGAGGCTTGAAATGAGTCCAAGAAAAGACTTTGCTCTTATCTCTTCATCTAGGCTTGGCCTCTAATGGGACCACATTTATATATACAGTTACATCAGTTTTGTTCTTATTTTGGTGCAGGGTTGCAGAGATGCGGCAAGAGTTGCAGGCTGAGATGGATAAATCACTTGAGGCCGGATCTGAAAAGAGGGAGTTTTTCTCCAGAAACTGCTGCTCTCATAATTGATCTCCACATTATTCTTGGCAATAAGTGAGTGCCATGATCCCATAATAATGAATTATTTCAGTTACAAATCAATGAAAATTGATATTTTTCTCTTTTACAGGTGGGCTCAGATAGCGAATTATCTTCCACAGACAACGAAAAGAGGATTAAAATTAAGAAATTTATACAAATAGGAAAAACTGAATGTCAAATATGTCGCTCGAGCGCCAATGTCACTCTAGGCAAGCTGCAGGCTTGCTGTTTTGAGTGCTTGTGCACCACGTGTGGACGGTGACCGTGGGTGAGTCCTTTTTTGTATCAACTTATTAAAATCCGAATCTTGATTTTGTTCTTAAATTTCTCTGACTTCTTTTTGGACTTTACAAATCCCAAGTCATATTTACTTTAACTTGGACTCATTAAATCCTACTTTAACATTGATTACAACTCAATAAACTCCTAATACAATTCAATTAGGACATGATTTTTATTAAGAATATTGCCAATTATAAATTTGGAAATTGCTAATTAAAATTTGTACTTAACCTAGTACTTTTTGTAAATTTTAAAATTGTAATAGAAATAGATTTAGAGTGATGTGTGTCTAATGTTTAATGAATGAATTTAATAAGGATAATGTTGAAATATAATATGACTTACCTGAACTTTTGCTAAATTTTAGTCACACCAATGTATTTAATCACTTGAAAATGCTTCTTATCTCTAGTAGAAACTTAGCCATACATAACTCCTAAATTACTATTAACATTTATTTTAGTTTACAGAATTTAGTATGATTATTTGATTTCTTAATGGACAATTTTTTTTTGTATGATTTCTATATGCATATATATTTCATAAACGGACTATTTTTTCCCATTTTATAAAAATGGAACTAGACCAACTTAATCTACGAATAATTGATAACGAGTTAGGTCATACATTAAACTATCTAGATGAAACTCAGCACTTCTCTGTTAATTGGTAATTGGATGAATTATCTTTGTTAATCGGTTTCTGGTTGTCGCTTTTTTCAAGAGGAGATTTTATTTATTAAGAGAAAATGAGAGCTTTTTTTAATAAAGGGGATCCATTATATTTTTGAAAAGATTTGAAACTCCTACAATTGCCCTTCATTTTTTCAATTTTGTTGATTTCTTTTATTTTTATTTATTTAAAGAAGATCCCTATATGCAAATTTAATGGAAAAAATTGGAGGGAAGGACATAATTTGCAATTAAGTGAAAGGTTGGACATGTCTGATGCTAAAAATATGTTGACGGTACGTTAGTAACATTTTGTAAAAGTAAATTTCCCTTATTTTCAATGATTAATGAACACACAAGAAATTAATTATGTGGCTATAAATTTAAAGTTAGTTTTTCGGCCAATTAATTATAATTATCTATTTATAATTAATGATAATTCTCGTACACTTGGAGTTTTTTTTGGTTAGGTACACCTATAGACAATAAAGAAGGGAACAAAATAAATCGCATTTATTATTGTGTACGGAGCATTGAGTTGGCCCATCGATAGATAACACGTTGAACGAATAAATATCTACCATATGTGAAAATAAGTGTATCATGAAACGATAAGAGATTGACATATAAGCATGCATATTAAAACAAAACTCAATGAAATGATATTCATTTACTCACTATGTGGTGAATATACCTTCCTAGGGAGAACAAATTTCAAAAATCATCATTTGGCCGTACTCGGCGAGTAAACCTATCATAGTATATATAACTTGTACGAACTATCATATACCAGCCCTTTGTGTTGTAAATATCCCTAACAGGTGACAATACGTTGCAAACATCATCATTTTATCGTTCGCACAACTAATATACTTAATCATTGCAGGTGAAAGTGATGAATAAATTCTCATTTACGTATTATGCTATGATGATACCTATCATTGAAGAACGTTATATAAATATCTGTGTAAATTATACGATTAAAGACAAAGAAACGACTGACAACTTTATAAGGCTAATTCCGAAACAATTTTATATTATTCAAATATAAATGACAGATATTTAGATTAATTAAAAATAAAATAGTTGACTGTTCTCTCTTTTGTTACGTTTTTCACATTAAAGATTCATAAATGAAAAGGAAGAAAATGACAAAATGTGTTAATGTATCATAGCTGGATTAGCACAGAGTAATAGAGGTAATATGATTGAATAAACAAAAAATAATCACATATATGTTGAGAATTTTCATTTCTTATGTATACAATCACGGTGGAGCCAGGGCGACAAAAATTTTTAAGTCACATTTTATAAATGGTTTAATTTATAAATAGATAGAAATAAGTGATATTGAAATTTGACATATATAAATTAATTTGAGTATTTATAAATTGATTTATAAAATTTGCTAAAGGGAGGCTAAATTTTTCTGTCAAAAGAATGCAAAATTATGCATACAAAAAATTTATATAATGATTCCAAAGAAGCTTTTGAGACTTGTCAAAATGTGGTCCTACCTAAATTGCATGTCTGACTCGTGGAAACTGGCCATGAAGAAGGATTCATTATAAGACATCCCCCTTCCCCCGGAGGGTTACTGCAAGTTCTACCCTAAATCCTCTATACAGGGCCCTCATAGCTATTGTTGTACAACTCTCTGGGTTAAAATCATAATCTGCAGTGTACTCACAGTTGAAGTCAGCCATTCCATTTAATTTATGCTTTTCGGTTGTTCTTTTAGGGCCTTTCATCATCTTTTTCTTCTTTCTTTATTGTGTACGTACGCAGAATAACAGTTCTTATTTTCTGCCATTTTTACAGTACATCTGGTTTCAGAGAGAGAGAGAAAAAAAAATGGCCCCTGGACAACAAACTTGCTGCGACAAACAAAAAGTTAAGAGAGGGTTGTGGTCACCTGAGGAAGATGAGAAACTCATAAGGCACATTTCTGTCTACGGCCATGGCTGTTGGAGCAAAGTTCCTAGACTTGCAGGTATCCTTTTCAGAAACTTAATTTCCACACATACATGTGTGTGTAAATACAGTGTTTGCACCCTAACGAATCTAGGTTTTTTTTTCTTTTTTTTTTTTTTTTTTTTGATCAAAGGATTTCATCCTTTCCCTGAAAGGAGGCTTGAACTGAGTCCAAGAAAAGACTTTTCTCTTATCTCTTGATCTACGCTTGGCCTCTAATAGGAGCACATTTATATACATTTCAGTTTTGTTCTTATTTTGGTGCAGGGTTGCAGAGATGCGGCAAGAGTTGCAGGCTGAGATGGATAAATTACTTGAGGCCGGATCTGAAAAGAGGGAGATTTTCTCCAGAAGAAGCTGCTCTCATAATTGATCTCCACAATATTCTTGGCAATAAGTGAGTGCCATGATCCCATAATAATGAATTATTTCAGTTACAAATCAATGCAAATTGATATTTTTCTCTTTTACAGGTGGGCTCAGATAGCGAAGTATCTTCCTGGAAGAACAGATAATGAAATCAAAAACTTCTGGAATTCAAGCAGCAAGAAGAAACTCATGGCAAGAAGTCTTTCTAATTCGGCCGGGAGCAATTTTCATGGCTTCAGCTCAATGAATTTTAACTCATATCTGATCCCAACTGCCCAAATGGATCAAGTCTACATCCCTCCTGCAGCCCTAAATAATTCACCGCCACTAGTGTTTGATCAGGTGAATTTCAATACTAATTTAATCCCACCGCTGACTTCTTTTCCCATATCATCTATGAATTCATCTGCATATAATCTGCCGCAACCGGCATGGATGACAACGGAATACCATCAGCCTCAACTGGTTGATCATCAGCAACAATTTATCAAACAGGAAGATACTTCCATGTTCATCAATGGTGGCCCAGCGGCTCCACACTTTTTCAACGCACCGCCATTAATGAGGAATAATGTGGATACATCAGTAATTAATGGGCTGCCAAAACTCTGTGAAATGACCATTGGGAATCAGTTTGGTATGTATTCATCCGTTCCACCGGTTCTTGAACCAGTTTCTGAAGGTTTTTCAGGATTCCCCTCTGGGCTTCATTCGCCTGAGATGCAGGTGCCAGCAGTCGGTCATATCCAGTTCATCCAATCACTCATGTCAGCATCCAACTCATCGTCCTCGCACTCGCAAGCACAGCCTCCACTACCATGCAGCTGGCCGTTTCTATTAAACCCTAATCAGCCTTCAGGCTGGATCAATCCCTAGACATGAATTTTCTGATCTGTGGCAGGAATCATTAAATGCCATGCATAAGAGTTTTTAAGTTTATGATGCTGTAGCAGTAAAAATAAATAAATGTTTCTCATTTTGGATTTTCAGCGTATTTTTCCAATTTGATGGATGTTCATAAATAAGAAAGACTATCTTTCATATGTTTATTTTGTTGGATTTCACTTATTCAGCTAGCAATTTATATTTTTGATTTATTATATTCTGATGAAAGACCTGAAGGACTTTTTTGAGTACATTCCTAAAGTACAAGATTTGTAGCCACTTTGGGGTAATAACACATGCTTAAATTGCAATATTAAAGAATCAATGAAAGAATTCAATTGTTGGTTTAGTGAACACTAAATACAAGATATGCACATATTTAATACAAAAGTGAGCTTCTGACTAAAGAGTGTTGCCTAGGTGCACACCGAACTCGTAGTTCGTAGGCATATATTGTTAAGATGAGCTGAATAGCTTGATTCCAGTCAGCAACCTTGTCATCAGCCCATCCGCCAGCATCAGTCCTTGCTGTATAAATTTGGTTTCACTCCTAATGCTGCCACTACCTTTCTATTGTAAATAGATTCTAACAGCTCCCTTAATTAGCTAGCCATCTAGAACATTCTTGTCGTAATTATTTATACCAACACAATGCTGAAGCAATATATATGTTGAGCTGAATTATCCTTTAAATTACCGTGCATTTCCAACATGGTATCGGAGCCTGAACAATGGCCAACGCCCCCACAAAATACTGATGCAAACTCTGTCCCTGCATCCATCTCAAGCAGCAACACTGGTCCAATGCAAGGAAACAATTATCTATTGCCCTTTGGCATGAATTTAACCCAAGTAGTATCAGTTAAGCTTGACAAAAACAATTTCCTTCTATGGCAGAACATGATTCTGCCCATCATCCGAGGACACGGTCTTGAAGGCTACATTATGGGAACAGAGACGTGCTCTCCAGAATTCATTGG